TGCAAATGTCTGTATTCTGTTTTGCCATAGTAGTGCTGAAGCATCCAGAGACAGCTCATAAAGAAATGAGCAAAGGTGTGTCCCGTAAGGCCTAAGAAAACAGGCAGAATGGCCAATGGTCCTGGGATATAATTGCCACCTGCTGCCTAGACTATAAGCCTCTTAGGACCGAGGGGAAACTGGGTTCTCTGTAGCAGACACCTGTACCAGGTGCTGGAGTTACTATGATAAGCAAGAGAGATGGGTCCTCACCTTTAAAACCTGCAGTATCTTACCGGAAGCCTCGTTTCATTTTGTGTGCATGATAAAATCTCAGGTAATAAGTTTTTGTTGGCCTTGAATGAGTCAGACTCCTACAAAAGCTGCATCGTGCAGGGCTTCTCGACTTGTCTGCTCCTCTTCTCCCTCACCATTGCCCTCAAGCATTTATCCTTCATCCGGTGACTGTTGGAATCTGTGGCTGTGTGGTAGATATGAACGTAGATGGATGGGGAGGAACTTTGGTTCTCAGAGTCCTCCAGGACTTTTTTTTGAAGATGGATTTGCTTTTCCTCCAAGTCTTTGAAAGTCAACTGTGTGGTACTGAGGATTTCCTAGTCAACTGTGTGGTACTGAGGATTTCCCAGACTGTGCTCTGTTCTTGTGGTCTAGTGGGAGAGGCAGATGATAAGTAAGTAAAAGCAAGTATGTATTTATAAATTGTGGTAAGCACTAGGAAGGAAGCAGAATCGTCAGTGTTCAGGAGGCCAGTGGTAGCAAAAGAGGAGGGCAGATACCTGTTCAATGCCATCAGTGGAAGGGAACTTTAAAGTGGAGACTTAAAGAATGAGGAAACAGTCATGCAAGGAACCAGGAGAAGAGCATTTCAGCAGAAGAACCAGCCTGTGCAAATGCCCCAAGGTAGGAAGGGCTTATTTGCTTAAGAAAGCAAAGCAGACCCATGGGACTGAGAAGGAGGAGTCTGGAGAGCTCTTGGAGTTGGGAAGACTGTGCAGCTGGAGCACAGAGAGAAACCGCAGCGTTTGAGTCTACCCAGGCTGCCATGACAAAATACCACAGCCTGGGTGGCAGAAACGAGACACACTTATTTTCTCATAGTTGTAGAGACTGAAGTCCAAGGCTGAGGTACCAACAGTGCTGGCTTCTGGTAAGGCCTGTTGCTCTGACTTGTAGACAATTGTCATCTTGCTATCCTCTTTCGTGGTCATTTCCCTGTGTGCATGTGGAGGAGGAGAGATCTTTGGTGTGTGTTCTTCTTCTTATAAGGGCATTGGTATTGCCGCATGGGGGCCTCAGCCTGATGTCCTTGTTTAACCTTAAGTGTGTCCTTAAAGGTCTACAGACCTTGAGCATGTGAACCGCGGGATTTGGAGCCACAAAATCAATCCATAGCAATGGATAACGGCACGACTCTGGTGGCTGTGTGAAGGTTCATTATGGAAAGTTTACTTAGAGGCCTCTGCCTCATTTTGGGAGAGGTATGACAGTGTCCTGAGTGAGGTTGGTGGCCATGGGATGGAGAGGAGGGGATGGACCGGAGGTGTTTGGGGCCAGTCTTGTTGTACCCTCTGGCCATTCTTGGCAGCTTATATGTCTATCTCCCACTAGACCACAAGAACAGAGCACAGTCTGGGAAATCCTCGGTACCACACAGTTGACTAGGAAATCCTCAGTACCACACAGTTGACTTTCAAAGACTTGGAGGAAAAGCAAATCCATCTTCAAAAAAAAGTCTCTAAGTGGTTCTGTTTCCAGGATTCTAGTGCTTTGGACCTCACAGGTGCTTAATGGATGCTGATTAAGGTGCCCCTGTCTTCAGTATCATGGAGCAGGGCTAAGGATGTTAAAAAGTTTCCAAATCCATCCTGTCTGTTGTGCCTGTCTTCAGGGAGGATGGTTCAGGTTTGGAAAGCTTCCTTATACCACTTAAGACTTCAAAGAAGTGATTCCATCCTAGTTTTTCCTTGGTTGTCTTAATTGACAGAGTTGCGTGATTCCTGTGTGTGTCTGCATTACACACACAGCCAGAGAACTTGACCTTGGTGCGCCCTGCCTCTGCTCTCCAACTCAGCCTCTCCAGATCTGTCTGGGTGGTGGAGGTTGGAGACACACACCTTGCTCACTTGGATCTGTTTCTTCACAGTTGTCTGCCCCTCCCTCAACCTGGAAGAACTGGATGCAGGCTCTAACAGGGAAAAGAAGCATCCAGATGCTTGGGAGTTTGGGAGCAATGATGAAAATAATAGCTTGCCAAATGTTTCTATACGGTGGACCTAATGCCACTGAACAACATTCAAAACCGAATGTTGTGATGTGGGCATGTTCCCAGAATTCATGTGTGCAAAACCAAATCCCCAGAGTCATCTGTCAATGGCATTTGGAGGTGGGCCTTTGGGAGGTAATGAAGATTAGATGAGGTCATGAGGGTCCTGGGATGGTATTAGTGGCTTTATAAGAAGAGGCAGAAAGACCTGAGCTGGAGCGACTACTGTCTTGCCGTGTGATGCCTGTCACATGTCAGGATCAGCAAGAAGGCCTCGCCAGGTATTTGGGCAGGTGGCACCTGTCCTTGGACTTCCCGTGACTCTCGAACTGTGAGCTACATGAACCTTGATTCTTCTTACTCCAGTAGTCTTGAGTATTCTATTGTACATAAGAACAGAAAATGGACTAACACAATGGTCAAAGTGGAAAAATCATGTGGTATGCATGTTACCAAATAAAAAACGTTCTATACAGTGCTTTTAGATAGTTCAATATTTTATATACGCCTGTAGTGGAGAGCTTGGATCCTAACTGCCAATCACCAGCTGAGCCTCGGTCTCCGTATTTGTAAGATCGAATAATGACATCTGTCTCATGGGTTGCCCTGCTCTGTACACAGTGGGAGCCCAATACATGGTAGCCATTCTTATATTATTTTTGTTCTTGAAATTTTTTTTTGGTGAAATTTGCCTTTAAGAGTTTAGAAATTTTTAAATAGACTTATATTTGGAGAGCAAAAAGTTTAATACCTGAGCTGAAATCTACAAATTAAGTAGACTCATATTTTAAAGGGGATAATAGTCTAACTTATTACTTCCCAATGAGGGACAGAGAACATTGTACAGGTAACTCTGGAGATGGAAAAGCTCACAGTGACAGAGACCCACCCACTTCTAGTTTTCTAAATATGAAGATAATAGCTAACAATAATAATGGCTGTTTATCGAATTCTCACTGTGGGCTATCAACTGAGTTGAGCACGTGGTATGGGTCCTTTCACTTAAAAATAATGCACATCAGTTTTCGAAACTTTGGGACTATTCTGGACATGTGGATTTATAACTCACCTTTCAATTTAATGTGTTTGGACTTTTTTGATATCACTAAATGTTCTGCCAATCATAGTCTAAATTAGTGTGCACTGTCCCACCGTATAAAGATGCAATGATTCATCTACACAATCAGTAATTCTTGGGCATCCAGGTTGCTTCTGGTTTTTACTGTTTAAAGTACACTGGATAATAATCCTCAAAGAAGTATTTTCTGAAGTATAAAAATTATTTTAGATGCCCAAGATGCTAGATTTGGTGTCAAACATGAAGTCAGCTAAATACTTCCACTCAAAGCAATTTAAACTCAAATTAAAATACATAATAATTTATAATAGACATGGAGTACAGGAGACCTCTCCTTGGAAAGCAATATTTTTCTGCACAATGTTAATAATTACTGTGCAAGTTATTTAATGTCTTAGAGTTTTAATTGTCTTTTCAGTACAAGTAACAATAATACCTTCATCAGGGTGACATTAGAAGTTTCAGGGAGCCAATGTCTACCAAGCTCCTCGTGTAAGGCCTGGTGCAAAGTTAACACCAAATAAATGTGAGCTGCTATTAGTAACAATACTGAGTCCCTGGCAATGTGAGGCTTGTGTAAATAGTCCAGGTTGTATGTCTGTCCTTGAGCAACCTGAGTCATTTATGTAAATGTTTCCCAACATAAATATAACTAAATGTGTCCTTCTTAGTTATATACAGTTGCTTTATGCAGTAGTAGGTACACAAACTCCAGATAGGGGAGTGAGTGGAGGTGGAAAGGTGAGGTGAGATCCCTCAAAGTCACCAGTGAAATTTGAGGACCTCAGGTTGTATTTAAAATGTGTCACAGAACAAAGGCTCATTAGCATTAGCAGAAACCAGGCCTCTTAGGGCAGTGGTTTTCCAACTCTGTCAGCCTAAGAAATTCAATTCCATCCATATCACAATGCAGATAAATGTGGTGTGTGTGTGTGTGTGTGTGTGTGTGTGTGTGTGTGAGAGAGAGAGACTTTTATGAAACTTTTAACAAATGACACTTATTCTTACCACGTGAACAATACTCTGATATTTTTTAGTCTGTTTAATTGAGGGTTTTTGTTTTTGTTTTATTTGTTTTGTTTTTTTGTACCTGGGATTGATCTCAGGGGCCCTCAACCACTGAGCCATAACCCCAGCCTGTCTCAGCCTCCCGATCCACTGGGATTGCAGGTGTTCACCACCGCACCTGGCTATTTTATTGTACTTTTTTTTTTAATTTTTAAATTTTCTTTTAATTAGTTATACATAACAGTAGAATGCATTTATGTACTTTAATATATCATACATAGATGGGATATAATTTCTCATTTTTCTCAGTGTACATGTTGCAGAATCATATTGGTCATGTCGTCACATATATACATACAGTAATAATGTCTGTTTCATTCTACAGTCTTACCTATCCCCATATCCCCTCCCCTCCCCTCCCCTCACTTCCCTCTACCTAATTTAAGGTAACCCTATTATTCTTCCTTAGTGCCCCCTGCCTTATTGTGAATTAGCACCGTATATTAGAGAAAACATTCCGCCTTTGGTTTTGTGGGATTGGCTTTTTGATGTTGGGTGTGACCACTAAATTTATTTTCCTGGGTAGAGACCCACAACCAAAACCTGGGCAGCAGCCAATAATTCTCCCTGGTTTGCTTTGTTTCCCACCAGATAGTCCCAGTTCGCCAGCAGAATGACCACGGAAAGAGACTCAGAAACAACATTTGAGGAGGATTCTCAGCCCAATGATGAAGTGGTTCCCTACAGCGATGATGAAACCGAAGATGAGCTGGATGACCAGGGCCCTGCCGCTGAGCCAGAGCAGAATCAGATCAACAGAGAAGCCGAGCAAGGCCGGGACACCTTCAGGAAAGGTAGCTGGAGGCTCATGGCTGGGGAACACACTGTAGATGCTCACACGGGTCACGGCATGACCTATGCCAAGGAGAACCGTCTGTTTCACATGGCCTAGGAGGGCCTCTTCCTTTTCTGATCTCCTCCTAGGATGGGCTTGGACAAGTACCCGTCGCCCTCAGCATGGCAGGCTGAAAGGCCAGACCTCACAAGTCCTGTGGAGGAGAAAATAGAAGGTCTTGGTTAGTGTGTCTTAAAATCGAGTTGTATGTGGAAGGATTTGCTCGTTACTGCCTCCAAGAATTTAAAAAATACACATGTCAATCAATCCTTGGAAGCCAATTATTTGCATTGTTAAATTTTTGGCATAAATTATATCAATGATCACTTGTGTGCACACACACACGTGTGTATAAATTAATTTGGCTCCATAATTAAGAAATGGTAGCGGTGTATGCTTGTGTGTGGGCTCACATGCCAGTAATGGATGAACAAGGGGGATATTCTGGGACAATTCCTAGGTCATGCCCAACTAAATGTACTTTAACAAATTAACTGGAAGGTGCCCCTTTTTAAAATTTATCCCTTTCTTTTTTTGCCACCAGAGTTTGGGTTGCCACTTAGTGAGGGGAATTTCTCAAAGTTATTTCGGAAGCAAGGGCCTTTCTGGGGAGTAATGTTGGAACATCCGATTGTCAAGGACTGTATGTTGTGTAGGACCAGCAGGACCAGATTTGAGCCTCTCAGCACCTTCACCTTGTGCACCTGGCATTTCACGGGAGTCTGGCATTCCCATACCTTTTGTTCAGTCATTTGTGAATATAAAATGGCTTTGGCTGTGTGGCAGGAATTTTTTAATGAGCCTCTACTTGCCACGAGGGGCCCCGTCGGGCAGCAGCCGTGCCACCTGCAGGAGTCAGGCTGGCTTCAGGGGTGGAGTCTAGAGGAGGGGACTTTTCATGTAAATGGCTGGACAGGAAATATTGTAGGCTTTGTGGACCACACAGACTCTGTTGCAACTATTCAACTCTGCCCACATCACCTAGAGGTGGCCACGGACAGCAGGTCACTTAGGGAGACAGAGTGTGGCTTGCTTTCACCATTGTGTTTTTTTCTCTGTTTTCTGTTTCCTGCTGGTTCACCCAGCCTGTAAACACACGTGGCCTCCCCGAGGCTCTTCTGCTCCCTCGGAAGCTGAGCCACTTCTTCTGTGGCTGCTCAGAGTCTAGCAGAGGGAACTGCGTTTTGCCATTCAAAGAGGTCACCCCACACTGCTGCCTCCACCTCTCCAGCTGTGTCTCCTACTGCTTCATCACAAAGAAGTCTGGTTTCATTTGGTTTCCCCAGAGTCTGTCTGGGCAGTTCTGTCCTGCTGTCACTCCTTGCCCCCTACTTTTTTCCCCCCTTGAGATCTGTCACCTGGTGAAGCTGGTTGTTCTTTTTCTGAACAGTTTTTACCTGTAGAAGAGAACTCGAGACACCATGAAATCCCACTGCTGTACTGATTCTTCTTGTCTTGGTCAGGATGGGTCACTCTACAGAGGACCTGTAGGGATCCATGAGGGCCCCCATCCCTCCACAGGCTCAGAACGCTGGGAAGCCGGGACCCACGTGGATCCTTGGTCCTCCAGCTGTCCCTATCCAGCATTTAGATGAATGAGACCTGAATGAGGGCTTCTGGGTGTGAATTTAAGGTATTGAGAATTGACCTAATGGGCTTTCTGTCCCAAAGCAGAAGGTACTAAAATCATGATCGCTGAGCAAAAATAAGATGGAATCACCACCAATCTGGACGGGAAGGTGGTCTCTGTCAAAAGAGGTGCAGAATGGGTATTAGTGGAATGGAGATTCAGCTGAGGTAGTAGCCAGACAGGTTGCAAGGGAGTTCTAGGTGATTGCCCAGAGAGTGAATAAAACTTGCTTCTTCCTCATTCCTTCCCTCTGCCACTTGAGTCTCCTATCACAACCTCACGATCTCTGCAGTCTGTAGATACCTGGTGAGTTGGCAGGAGAATTGGCTCTGTGGGGTGAAGGGTAAACTTTCCTGTTGGTACCTGGTGCCACACGGTCAGATGTGTGGTCCCAGGATGCAGCAAAGGGACTGGGGTTGGGTGCCTGCTGAAATGTCAGAGGAGCACGTAGTGGGTAGAAACCTTGCCTCTGTGTTTTTCCACCTCTGCCTGCACATTCAGGTGGCCAGGGCCCTTTCCTACTCATTCATTTTCCAGAGCATCTGTTTTGTAGATTTCTACCCTCATAATATGGGCTTTGACAGCGCTTAGTCTTGATCTTGGCTCACAGTCTTTTCCAAAGGTGGTTTATATTCCTAGGGGATTTTAGTGGTTCTCATTTTCCAAAACCTCTGTCAAATGACTGCCTGCGATTTGTTACAAAAGTTATTACTCCAACAACTCTATTTGTCTTTCCCAAGCACACAAAGGACTTTTCAGTAAGTGCTCGACCTCTTCCTTCCCATTTCACTTCTGCCCGGCATCCCCATGATGCTCTCCCTCCTCCCTACCCCCCCCCACATCCCCTTCTCCTCTTCCTCCTCCTATTTTCTCCCTCCCTCTCCCTCCCCCTCACTCTCTCTTTCCTTCTCGATGGGTTCTTTCGTTCTCCTCCCTCCCTCCCTTCCTCCCTTCCTTCTTTTCTCTCTTGGGCATTTCTCAGTCAAGGTTGAGATCACCCTCGTCTGTCTTTCTTGACACCGTACACCATGGATAATTTCCTTCCAGGAATTCAATTCTTGGGACACCAGAGCATGAGTCACCCTGTGAAGTGTCAGAGGGCTGAGTAGCCCTGGGCCCAGCCCCCATTCCAGCAGCCCATGAGCCCAGGTCATTTCTTTAATGACATCCTCGTCACCCAGAAAGTTGGTTTTTCTTTTTTAAAAGAATGAAAATGCCCCAGCCAGCTGAGCTTTCATGTTCAACAAGAGTTTTGAGAGACCCATTGAAAGTGTTTTTCCCTTGAAGGACCTTCATTGTGTGCTGTGAGACTCAAGAACAAGAGCAAACACGCTGCTAGAATGCACGTGGAGGAAGAGATAAGCAGGCAGAGTCGCTGGGGTAACTTTACCCTTAGTAAAGTGCTGGCAGGAACCAGCAGGAATGTTTTCCAGGCTAATGGGCCAACACTTGCCTTTCCTGGTGAACACAGGAGAACACTGGTTCTGCTAGATGGTCCCGGACACAAACCCAGAGACCAGAAACTTGGGATTCTTGTTCTCTGTCCATTAGTATAGAAAGATCCAAGAAGTTTTAGCTGCAAAAAAACCAGTTGAACTTCATTCATCCAGAGTTCCTATAATTCCTTGACTGTGGGATGCTGTTTTTTTTAAGCCAACCACCCCTGATTCTTGTGACTCAGACCAACTCCTTGGGTAATTCTGTGCCAGCAGGAACCAGCTCAGAGACACAGTCCTAGGGAAGAAATTAGTGCCCCAGAGAGGGTTTCTGGTTGGCACATAGTGACTGGGTCCTGTGAGCCTCTGCATGGGATGTGAACACAGCCCCCAGCCTCCTTGCACAGTTGTTTTATCTGTCCTTGGGCCTTCCAGCTGTGGCTGGCTCACACATCTGCACACTTCTGACCCAAACCCTGCCTTCCAAATCAGGTGGATGTTCTGCCTCCTGCTTTCATGGCCAAAATTCTGGAAATCCGTCATGGACCATCCCATTCTCCCATTGGGCTGGGTTCTTCCCTCTGCAGGCTGCCCTGCCACCAGACAGATAAGGCTCTTTTCAACGTCACCAAGAAGCCAGGTGCCAAGCCCACTGACCTTCTGTCAACTCTCATCCTCCACTGCTGTTTGCTCTGAAGCGTCTGAACTTCCTAGCAGAGCCTCCTATCTCTCCTTCCTTCTGTTCCTTCCTCCTTCACCCTTTGTAGGTTCCTGTCCCCATTCACACTGTGTCTGCAGATGCTTCTGTAAGCAGCTCACCTTTTTCATGCACCTATTCCCCATTTGTCACTCTGAGTGGTGTTTAAGAAGAGAGAGCCAGGCTCAGACCACGTGGGCTCTGGTCCTGCCTTCATTTCATTCTAGCTATGTGACCTTGAGGACGGGACTTCCCCTCTGTGTGCCTCAATGTCCTCATCTGAAAAATGGGCTTCATACCAAGGCCTACTCTATAGGGTGATTGTAAGGATTAAATCAGAAAGTAAATATGAAGGACTTAGGTCTGCTTTGGGGCATGCAGTAAGTGCTAAATAAATATCAACTATTGTTACCTCCCACCCTGCAGTACTCTCTTAATATTGTTCACTTCAAATCCAAAACGTCATCTGCCCACCCATCATCTCCTCTTCACTTTGGAGTATTTGGATTCTCCTGCCCCAGCCCCCAAAACAGCTAAAGCTGCAGAGTCCTTCTTTCTTATTAACAGATGATTCCCTCCCCAAATCCAAGAGCAATGGATGGATAAACGTCTGGATCAATAACAGTTCTCCCGGTGATCAATTTGTCCACATATTAAGGAACTTTGGGTGACGTTCCTGCCTCTGCCACCATAAGCTTTTCCCTTCCATACCATCTTCCCTGGGAAAGGCCGCCCCAGCTCATGCAGAACAGCCGAGCCAAAGCCAAGGCGGTGAAACCAGAAAGCCTCATTCATACATGACTTGATGGGCCTGTATGTGAAGGATGAGGGGAATTCATTAGGGGAAGGGAGAGACCTGTGGGACCAAAGGGGCCGACATCCAGAAGCTCTATGGCAGGAGGAAAGGTGGAATGCTGGAGGCATGCGGAGGCACTGACATCAGGCCCTGGGGAATGAGGATGCCCCAGGGAATGTGCCTGGTCTCCTTCCTATCACGGCAGAGTGTAAAACCTGAGTGACTCACTGTAGATGATCGAGTCAGTGCTGTGAGGGCCTGAGGGCCCACCTGTCCTACTCTGAGCTAGTTTTGGAGCCCTGGGCTCTGTACCTGCTTGCTCTCGAGGGGGTTTGTGAATGAGTGGGGAACCAGCTGGGCTTACCTGAGCTTAGAAAAAGATTCCGTTGCTCTGGATCCC